CTCAGGGAAGGAAAAAACCCTAAGTATCAATAAATAGCTCAATAAAAACCATCTGCTCAAAGCACAGCAATGATAAAAGAAAAGTAAACTCTTAGGATACATAAAAAATTAGACTGTAATACTAGAATAGAGTTTAATAGCACAACACCTCCTATGTACATACAAAGCTTAGGCTGACACAGTTCTTTGTATTTGTACATGTGAAGTACAGACATCTTGCCTAAATTTGTCCTCCAACACTCTCATACTTCCAAGTGAATTCAGTGTAGTATCTAATAGCAGAATTATTTCATTTTCATCTAGAATTTTTCATCTGTGCAGGCAGAAAAATGTACTACTTAGGAAAGGAAAAAGAATCACGATATTTCTTTTACATTATCACATTTAAAAAACAATAGAATTAAATTACCCTTTCATAAACAAAACCTGGTCATGTGAATATTTTAAGTGTAACCTGGAAATAAAATTTTAGACAACACCAGTGACTCACATTTAGAGAAGAAAAACTATATTATAGAAGACAACTAAACATCATGACACAGTTTATTTGAAGACCTTAAAAAATTTTGTTTCATAGTGTTAATGTGTTACCTTCCAAGAGTAAACACTCATGGTACTCTGGTGCATCAGTGTATGAATCACAAACCATTAGAGCTTGTACTTCTTTTTATTCACTTTATTTTGTTTTCGAAAAGGTTAATGTACATGGATATACAGTTCAAAGAACTTCAGATATTTTTAGAGAAATCAATATCTTTCCTGTGACTTTACAGTAGTGTTAGAGTTCACTTTTTCTTCATTTCTACTAAAAAAAACCCAAAAACACAGAGACAAACACAGGAATTTTCCAGTCTTTACTTCTCAGAAACTATTAATGTGCTATGTTTTTAAAAATATCATTTAAAACTATTGTATATAATTTGTTTGGTAAATGTTGCTGCTCTCCCTTGATTCTTTCTCAGAAGGCTAGCTGTGGATCTTGCAAATTTGTACTCAGTTTTAGTTCTACATCTTCTTAAAAAAAGCAATCTAAAAATCAATAATAGCACTATTTCTTTACTATATATCTTACTTCATTAACACCTTTCTGGCTTTCTTCATTTTAGCTTATTTCATATTTCAAAATCCTGTCTTGCATGTGCAACACCTTGTTTTACAAAAGGGCATAGCAGAGCCACATTAAAGTTGAAAAAAAAAATAAAGCAGTATGTTGATTAAGAGGTTTTGTACAAGCTATAGCTCAACTGAAAAATAACAAAAAAAATCCTCAGTGGTTGTGTGGTGTATGAGATAGCAAAATAACCAAAGTATTCTTCAACAAAATGAGCTGTCTGCCACGATTTATCTGTACAATTCCATCACAGCTCCTGCCTGTTATGTTACACTTTTCAAAAGTATGTCATTAAGCTGCCATAAAAGTCATCACAAATTGCTTTTTCTCCCAAACTGATAATAGACTTATAGATCTAATTTTCCATCTCTTTTCTTCATTACTTTGATTCTTAAGGAGAGTATGACATTTGCTGACTGAATACTTTGTAGTAATATCTGGCATCTCTCTACAGCACTTCTGTCTGAGTATCTCTGAGCTTTTAATAGGTTTGTCTTAACAGTTCCTTGAAATGATGACATAACAATTTGTCTCTATTGCAGACTTTTAAAGAAATTGTTTTTATAATTTCAGTGAAAAACTACAAGACTTGTTGAAAAAAAAATGACACAACAAAGCCTTCAGTGCTGTCAAGCTACACCATTAAAATCCTGACCCTTCATAGCACAAGAGCAAAGAACAAATGAGACATTCTTGTTTTCATTCCAATTTTTTTTAGCTTCATAGACTGTCCTCTACACAAAACATGAGACTGACTGACAGAAACAACTAAATAATTGAGAAACATCAACAAATTAAAAATTAGATTTTTTTATTCCTATGGTGATCTCTCCTCATTTGTCACCAGTTAACACATGAAACTTTCTTTTGTTCATACAGGCCTTCATATGTATCAAACTAACATTCAGTACTTGAAACTGGCCTTGCTAATGAACTAAGTGCACTTAGTTCTTTAAAACTTAGGAATAGGCTGGTTTAGAAAGTTCCTTGCAGGGTTAATGAAAGCAACACAGGAAAGATCACAGGAGCAATGATGGAAATCAGGGTGAAGGAGAAACAGAGAAGAAAGTGTCCCTTTTATTATCTCACAACCAAATTTTCCAATAAATATGCAGCAAAATCCACCACCCAAGTAGCCTCCAATGATGTAGGTCACTTTTGAAGCACTTGACCAAATACTTAAATACCCTGTCCCAGGCCAATATAGATGTTTTATCAGATGTTTTTCAGCACTGATGTTCAAACACTTCACAAATGTGCTATTATGCATCACAGCCAACCCCAGAGACACAACAGCTCACCCTGCTTCACCCAAAAGGTTGATGAGAGAACTAAAAATAGAGACCATGTTTCCCCAGCCCCAGGGGTACTACTTCTACCATGACACAGGGCCTGATATTTCTTTGAGAATACCCCAAGTCCAAACTGGCAATTAAGTCACTTCTACTTAGACAAAGAAACCTAAACTCCTCTATACTGTCATAACAGAGGCAACCACCACAGCTCCTATGTGCTGGGTTTCAAGACATCCAAAAAGGTATTCAGAGCAGCTATTGAGGGTGTGCCTGTACTCTACAGCAGCAGGACACTTCTCAGACTAATTACTTCACATGGAGCTTCCTTGCTATATTCCTTCTGAGCAAGCTCATTTATCTTCATATCACATTATGCAGTGTAGATACATCCTCAGACAACTCAATTTCTCTAGGTAAGGGATACACATTTGTTGAGGCAAAAACCAGTTTAAGAAGCATTATAACGAACAAATGATCTCACAGTATAACCATTTGTACTTCCAATTGACTCCCAGGTTTAAATTCTTCGTATATCAGAGTGGATTCAAACTGAAATGGGGAAAAATGCAGTGTTCTGCTTATATTAGAGCAAGAAATACATCAGTAACAGCTCAGGTGAAGTCTGGCAAGGAGAGATGCGAAACTTTTCCTCCCTCAGCACAAGGGATGTGATTTGCTCATCCTCAGAAGAAGAATAAGTCTGAACAACAAAGAAACATCAAATTCCAAAAATATGCTTGCATTGGAAACATGCTCAAGTTTGGCAATAACCTCACCACAGGCTTCGTCTACACTGAGCTTGTTTAAAGAGGATTTTTCCTTTACAGACTCTCTTAGAGCCTGACTGAGAACCCCCAATTCCCAATTCTTGATTCACCCTCTCTGCTGTCAGCAACTATCTGTAAAACTTACTACAGGGTTTGCATTTTTACATTCCTCTAATGCCTGTTTGGCACAGAAGAATCAGAGTTCAAAGCTTGCTTTGTCAGTGATTTATACAACCACGTCATAGAAAGCAGCCATTTTTCAGCTTTTTCAGGTATAAAATGCACACACCCTCACCACCCCTAAAGGACACTACCGTAAGAAAGTGCTTTCTAATGGTCAAGAAACTAAAGTACCTCTCTCCCTCCTGTACACTGTTAGATGGCTTTCAACTAACCAATCTTACTGCAGTTTTTTCCAGAGGATCTTTACCCTGTTCTAAGGATAGTACAAACAGTGCTGAATGAGCACTCACTCAATTAATCCTCACTGTTCACTGTGCGGTCTCTTGCTGTAATTTACAGCATCTACATGTAGAATCATAACTGGAAAACCTCTCATTTCTCTGTTGATCACTATTAGGTACTTGAATTATTTCTTTATAGTAACTACTCCCCAGCACCTCCATCAGACAATTTTATGGTTCTTTTTTCAAGGTAGCAAACTGGCAGACAGTGATGTGCATCAGGATTGCCCATAATTAGAGATGGTTGACTTGAAATACTTTGGGTCTCTCTTCAGAGGATAAAGCAATTAAACAGCACTTTGTCAGTACAAAGTACAACTTCAATCTCTTTCAGTGCTATCATGTGTTTTCAAAGCTGACATTAATCGGTCCCAAGAGCCTGAACTCAGAAAATGAGAAGTTCACAACTAATGGCCATATTTAAAACATGTGGTTGAAGTGAACCACCCAACTTCACACAGGAGTTCTATGGCTGAATTAAGATTTGCCTTTAACCCTTCAGAATAGCATCCAACAGTCCCAGGTGTAAATCCCATCTGTCAATGTTAATTCCCTCCTTTATTCACCTACCAGGTCTCCTCCACCTTCAGCAGCTACGAGGAAGCAAATCTAAAGGAAACAAGCTCATTAATTAGCACAGCTGGATTAATTTCCTAAATGTCATTTATCTGGCCTTCCTGAAAATAGCAAGTGCTTTGTGGATAAAGAGTCTGAAATTACACCAGAATATGCCATTTTAAGGCAAAAAATTTATCACAACCAAACTGAGTTTACACCAAAAACTTCTATTCCAGCATTTCCTATCTGTTGAGAACATTGCATTGCATCACTGTCAGAGAACTCCACATTCCCTGAATTTTCACTTCATGCAGTCTCAAATAACAATCAAAGATTTAAATCCATATGTGTATTGCCAGGTCACTTGATACATTTGCAATTTCAAGCTTGAGAAACTCCTACTACAGGACCTCTTAATACTGAACACATCCAAAGAATCTCTGCAAGGGCACAACTTCACTGCAAATCTATGGGTCTATGCCATAACTACAACACAGCACAGGAACATCACAGGGTTAGGACTTCCAGTGTAGAGAACACCAGAGATCTCCCAACACTAATTTCTATCAGAAACCTTTGTATCACCTCAGAAAAGTGAGTTTCTTTCAGTTTCACCAATGCCAGCACGTGACATATCACTGTTTTCCTTGTTTGACACCAAGTCAACATCCAACCCCTAATTCCAGAATGCTTTACACTAGCATCACAGTAGCATCACATTTCTGTCTGTGCTTTGCCACTTGAGTTCATCATCAATAAATACTTGTTTGAACACCTGTTTAAAAAAGCCAAAATGCAAACTCACCTCATTCCCACCAACAGCTTTGGTTAAAATTACAGCAGAAGACACAGGAGGTGGCATGCAGCCCACTGTCTGCAAGCTGAAAACAACAAAAAGAATGTTACATTCCTTACAGGAGGTACACAGTAAGCAATCTGCTACCTTAAAATACCAGATAGCCAAGTAGAAAGTCTTATCACCTGTGCAGTGCAATCAGTTTCCAATCAGCTACAGCCCTGCATCAGGAAAGGCGCTCCTGCTGGCAGCATTTCTACACCATCTCTCACTAGTCAGCACGGTGAAGTCATGTCACCATGCAAAAAGCACAAACACTTAACCTCTCTGTGACTCCACTTCCCCATCTGTAGTACTGCACCTCTCATTCACAAAGGTCTCTATACATCTATCACAGACTTCCAGACAAAATCATCTGGCTGCCATCAAAGCATCAACAGCTTTCTCTTACACTTTAGAAATCCAAGATACCCTATTACTATTGTCATTTTCAGCATTGTTTGTGCAGCAAAGTTATTGAAGTGCCCAGTAAATGCTGTTGCAAAGTAAGAAAAAAGTGGTGAAGTTTCCTTTGTTTTCAAAGACAGTCCACAAAATCACATCACAATAAATTAAATTTGGGGCTAAGTAAAATAGGGCTTCTGAAGAAAAACTGTGTTGACTTGGAAGGAACAGTAATGAGTGGAATAAAATAGATTGCAAAATCCCCAAAAGTGCGGAATCTGCATATGTTTTCAAGTATCAGAGCTTGAGATTCTAATTCAGAACAATCAATTACTAGTGGTGAAATACTTTGCATTCGTAACCCTGTCAGTAGAACCCCTGAGAAAGGCAGTGTCAAAAAGCTGCAGCAAGCAGAAGTATTAAATCCAGGCACCAGGGTGCACATTACAGTGCAACTGATATTCTGCAAATATACAAAAAGCTTAAAGAGAAGAAAAAGGTAAGTGACAATGACAGCATTCCCTCTGTCAGCTACAGACTCTGTGGGAGAGGAAAGAGGCAACCAATGTAAGCATTATATAAATCCAACCACAAGGTGCCAATCACCACCTTGGAAGCATGGAGCAAGCTTACAGTGAAATAAGCAGCAGAGAGTTGTCAGCACATGGCAGAATAAGCTAACATTGAAAAGAAAAGAAATACAGGAAAAAGAAACTGCAGGAAAGTTTGGAAACATATAGGAAAACATACAGCAGACAAACAAACACATGGCAATCCTGATGTCCATCTCCTACACTGTGATACTGTTATCTCTCCTATGTGGCAGGCAGCTCCTCAAACTTCTCACCTGCTCTAATAAGGAGTGGATTAAATTCAGAGTTATCCAGACAGGTACAAAATGTGTGCAAGGGCATTCATCTCAGCTGGCAGGGATTTTCCATACTATAAGGGAAAGACTTAATCATACAATCTCTGTTAACCCTCTCAAATTGAAAATAACATATATGGGATTAAAAATAAAAACCCCTATCAAGTAATATTAATCTAAAAAACCCCGGTACATACTAAATGGACACACTCTTGATTGAGTGTATTGAAACATGCACCAGTAAACTGTTTTTCAGTTTGTATCAACTACACAATTCTACCAATACAGAAACAGATTCCTCTAAGGGCCAACAGACTTCTAGAGATAACAACCAACCAACCCATATATTCCACTGGAGCAGGCCATGCTATGAGTACCCCTGATGACATCAGCGGTCCAGACACTTGCTGTTCTGCTGATATCATTACAGACAACTGAGAAGTAGAGTCTGAAGTCACATGTTTTAGACATGAAAGCTCCAAAGTCATACCCTATACCCAATCTCTGCATCTCATGCCTTACCACCTGTGCTGTAAATGTTACATGCTAAAAGTGGAGAAGAGGTGAATCTGTGCATACATTAATAACCTGCTTCATGCTCCTTTTCAAAAAGATGTTGTCAATGTAAAACCTGGGCAGCTAACAAAAGAATTAACTTATAAGATGCTTGGGAGGATGTCAGTTTCTCCTCTATTTTATAAATTTCAAAAAAATTGCAAAGCAAAAAACCTCCTAATATTATTCCAGAGAGAGAGGAGCAGAAAGAAAAGAATCCCACTCAGCTGTAGAAACACAGCTGAAAAGCTGGTACCACCCAAATCTGCCTCTCAAATAACACTTACAGCAAAACTGACCATTAGGGAGGATGGGAGAATCTTTCATTCTGATGCAAGATGGAAAAGGTTCTGTGGACTGTGCCCTTCAGGCATAACCTTGTGTAGGGAGCAGTGGAGAACTGCAGTGCCCAAGGGAGCCACCCTGCCAAAGGGTGCTGCATGCCCTTGGGAGCACATGCCTGTTTTTCCAGGCTTTTTGAGGGCTATCAAGCAGCCTCCACCACATGCTGTGCTAAATGTATGATAAGGAAGTAACTTTCCCAAACCTGTCTTCTTCCCTTCCCTGTTTTCCTTAGGTACTGTAGTGTTTCTAAGGGAATAAAAACTACAGCTGTGGGGCATTAGGATGAACTTTTGTTTACACAGAGCTGCCACAACACAGTCAGCTCCTCACACACACACAGGGACCTGCTTTGTAATGTGTTATTCTAGAATTAGGACAGAGCTCAGTACCTTCTGCACCTGCATCACACTGTACAGCTCCCAGTGCAGTGGCTGCTGCTCTGAGCATGTCCTGAACAGCAGTATTCCTCAAGAAAGCACTCTTAAAAAACCCTACTAAACCAACTTAATTAAACTCCTCAATCTGATCATTCCTTCAATGAAGACTCAATACAACAGAGTTAACAGCACTAAAATATAAAAAAAGCCAAATCAGAAGCACTCAAGGAACAAGTGCTTGAAAGGCAGCTTGAAGCATACAGAAGTACAGCAGCTCAGTAGTAAGACACAGACACACTGACATGACAAATGAGCCTGGTTTAGACTCCACATTTAGGGGATAAATGCACAAGTATTTATTTTCTTTACAAAAATACATACATCCCAAGTTTTACAACCAGTTTTACAGCTGTGCATGCATATACATATAATTACACTCATGCATGTAACAGATTATGTCACTTAAGTACTAAGAACCAAAGGGGCATAAGACTCATGGAAAAGAAGGAACGAGACATGCTTCATGGAACGAAAAACCCCACAAAAATCTCTTTCACCTTGCACTTCAGAAACTGAAACTCCATGAATTAGGAAGGAATTTTGGCTACTGTGGAAAATCACATATTTCTCCTAGCTGAGAACAAAAACTTCACAATTATTTTAAAGAATACCCTTTACTACAAATACCTAAATACAAATGAACATCATATATCAATCTTGTTATTTCCTTGCTTTACTGATGCTGTTAAGCAAAAAACTGTTGACTTTTAATTGTTGTTGTCTTAGTGTCACCTTTTCACTATCATTTGGACCAATTCACACTTGATGGAGCATCAGGAGAAGCCTCTTACAAACAAAATGAAATGCTCCTTTAGGTTTAGGCCTTGTAGAAACACAAACATGAGCAGCTTTTTCATTAAACTTTTAAGACAAGGAATTCCCCAAGCCATGTTTCACCAAGCAGTAAGAAACAATGGGGATTCTTTCAGCACTTTTCTGAAATAATTGATTTTTAACATTCAAACAAACATTCCAGTATACCTGCATGGCACCAAGTATTGACTCCCATTTCAAAAAAAAAACAAACAAAAAAAACCCAAAAAAACCACCTTTTTTACATAGCATCTATCCCTAGTACACCATCCATGCAGCTTTGCACATTGACAAGATTTAAAACACACTGTTTTCATGGTAACTTTGTTTTGGCTCATCACAAAGTTCTTGTCTTACAAAAAACTTTACTCTTTTTTTTCCTCCAAAATTTAGCTGGAAGCAGATACTGAACCCATGCAAGAAATGCTCAACACATACTACTTAAAAACAGAAGACCAGTATGTGGCATACACAACATTTATTCACTGATTTATGCTTTTCCTTCAGCATTCCTCCCCACCTTCCTTGAGACCAAACACATCACTTCGGCTGTGTTTTTTGAAAAAGAAAGCTAACCTGTTGCAACACATAAGACTGTCCAGACCTTCTGAGAATGAGACCAGGTTCCTGAAGGGATAATCTTGAGCATGAACTTTGCTTTCAACAGCAAAGTGCTGAAGCACAAAAAACAACGAGCAAGATCTGTTCACAATACAACAAAACACCAGTTGCAGGATAAGCAGCCCTTTAAGACAACAGCTACAAATATATTTCACTCCATTATACTTAAACATACCCTTTTAAAAGCCATTCATTTATAGGTGTGATTGATAACAGCTGAAGAAAGACCCATATTGCTGTTGGGAAGAACACAAGTGTAAAAATCTGGACAAAAAGGTGTAGTTTCACATGCATCAAAGCACTTGTCAGCTCCTGCAAAAGAAAAAGAAGAGAGGAAGTTGCAGTCATAACAGCTGAAGTAAGATCACATTTGTGCTTTTAAAACTGGGACCAGCTTTATCATACAAAAGGAGTGCATGTCAAAAAGTCACCTTTAGGGATCATCTGATCTCTTTAATAATGAAGTACATCCAGACAACATAAAAGCTGTCTGCTCCTGGGCATTTTTCCACAAGAATTGTCCACCACTTCCATAACAGTGTAGCTCTCAAAACAGCAGCTTTTCAGCAGGCAGCCTTAGCACTTTGTCACAGCTTCAAAACCTGTGTTAACTGTACTGATGGCTGTTTACTGACTTTTGATATCAAAAGGCATGAAAACTTGTAGTGAGTACATGATTTCAGGTTCCTCTGTTTAAAGACAGACACAAATGGGGATTCTCATTTATACTATTAAAAAAAAAGAGAAAAGTTTATGGATGTTTGTATTACCAACCATTCATTTGTAGTGTTGGAGGTTTTTTCATGTTTGTTATTTTTTCCCTAAAAGCAAAGTAGCAGACTTTGATTATTTATTTTATCACCAGGAAATTTATAGGAAAAACAAATTTGGCTGATGAAGAATAACAAAAAAAGAATACCAGGAACATAACAAGCTAAAAACTGTTAAGCCATTTCTCAGAGAAATAAAGTCTAAAATACCACTGGAGACTCAGAAAACAACAGGGAAAAACTTAATTTTAAATAGTGTAAGAGCACTCCAGAGAGGTGATCAAGTACCCTTAAAGAAAAAAAACTCTTCAGCTAGCTCTGTGTCTCCCTGTTTCTGCCTTTTCAGACATTTCAAGGACCTTCTACACAGTTTTTTGAGTACAACAAAAGAGCCTTGCACATTTCAGTTAATTTCAAATCTTGCAGACTGAGAATAAAAATTCCTCTTCCTTTCTCTCACAATAACTCACACTCTTCCCAAGTAAACAATGCAAAAGAACTGATGGCACTCTTATTCAAAATCTAATTTGCTGGGATTCTCCAGCTGACACTCCAGATGCATTGAACATATCTATCTATCTGTATCTCACATATAGAAGTACCCTTCTAATTTCATACTTTTAAAATCAGAAAGTGCCTCACAACCGGGGGTTTTAAGAAGACTCTGTGATACTTCCAACACCAAAACTCAAGACAGAAAGAAAGCTTCATTGTAACCTCCAGGGAGCAAGGAAGGTGATACAACTACTGCATGGAGGAATGTTGTATTGATGGAACAAATCTTTGCAGACCTAAATTACCAGTCTTGAAACTGTCTCCAGTGATTGCCTTTGAGAATAGTAACAGTTATTTAGAATAGTTATTATTATAATATTATGCCTTAGATTGGATGATCTCAGCATAAAAGCTGAGGCAAACAGCCTTCACCCTCCTAAACAATTTACAAGAGCTTATCCAAAAATACATCTGCCACCTCAAAAAAGTTGCTGGAAGCTGCTAGTCAGGACTCTGTTTCTGCACACCAGACAGAATAGGTTACCTTGTCTTCCCCAGTATTTCACACCCTTTAGGGAGCTTATCCCTTGCTGCTGTCGGTCCCTGTTGCTATCCAGCCGCTCTTCCAATAGTAACAGCTGGACTCCTCTGAGCAAATACCCACACAGAGCAAACAGTGTTCTCAGTGGCTTGCTAAATTCCTTGTTGAAATGGATAACTCAAGTATGTGATTTAATTTCTGGAGCCCTATGGGAGGTATTTGCTTTAAAAGAGCAAGCTAGCCAGTCACTGCAAACTGAAATAGCATTATATAAAGGTGGAATGAAATGTTCTTGTCAGAGAACACTGAGTATTTCTACAAACATAAGAGGACCTTGGTCACCTCTGGTTCTGAAAGTGTAACAAGGCCACGCACAGGCAGACTCTCCTTGAATGTTGCCAATTATTCTATAAAATGCTTTCTGAACACACTAGCAAAAATTTTTGAGCATGCACTTACACAGCAGATTAAACCAGAAGTGTAACCTTAAAAGAGCATCAGTGATTTCGAATTTGTCAGATTTATCAGAAGGCCTCTGTTAACACTTACAAAGTTTTCATTCTGTCATAAAGCATACCAAACACTAGTTTCCATCTAACTAATACAGTACCTAAGGTAGAACAGCTGATACACAGCTCAAGAACAAATAAATCCAAAAGCAAAAACCATATACTTTGCAATCCAATAAAAAAAGCATACTGAGTAATAATACCAACTTTAGGTTGTGCCTTAAACAACTAAAACATGCTTCAAAGTATTTTAATAAAAACATGACCTGGAAACCTAACACATGTAAGGATTGTTTTGAACATACACTTTACAAAGTAATAGCACCAGCTACAATGTGAGAAATTATTTTCTTCTTCTGTCCTCTACCCCCACAGCAGAAATTCAGGAAAGGCCTAGCTTCTTCATGAAGCTGGATAACAGCACCAGCCCTAACTGCTGCTCCCAAAACAATCTGAGATCAGCTACCTGGACATAAACAAGCTCCTGTAAAAGCTTCACTTACGTCAATATATTACTTTTAATATCATAGATGGAAAAAAGTTATCTAAGTTCCAAGTAAGACATGACAAATTGCCCAGAAAACTGGCAGTCACATCACCTTAACTGGAAGAAGTTAGATGTAAACTAGCATGGAGAATCTAATCAAGACTTTGACAATGCTACCGATTTCTCACAGCTGCTTTACAGATACAAGGTTTCAAGGATACAAACTAGTGAAAGGGGGAAAAAAAATTACTTTTTTTTTTTTTTTCTGCATGCAAAGATTCCTAAGCCTGAAAGAGAAAAACTCCACTCTATTAATACTACTCAGATTTGTGTTTTGAGTTCTCTTCTCTGTGGAAGAGAGCGCCTCTCCACAGCTTATTTCCATTAAAGTTGAAGAGATGAAAGTTCACCACTATAACCATGACACAGGTGGAGAGACTTTTTGTTGTCGAGTGCACAGTGTTCACTCAAATCCCAGTCCACCAAGAAACAACTGGACAAAATTGTGATTATTCTTTCAGGCATTAATATAATGCATCTTATGGATAGCATCCCCTGTTAGTCAACAGCACAAAGGAATCAGAAGACTAGACTAGCAGAGACGTGCAGGGTTTCATTTCAACTCTGGCTGCTCTATCTCTTCTTGGCACATAGCCATCATTTCCTTTCTCCATAATTCCTTTACAGGCCCACTCATCTCTTCTGAGTCCCAGACTGCTCCTCTTTGAATAACAAATGACACAAAATTTTAAACAAATCTCAGTGCCTGTGATATGCACCAGAGTGTAGGTAGCTCAAATCCACCTGTCCACAACAAAATCCTATGGGAAAAGATTGCCAAGACTTTGCCCTTGTATATTGACATTACATCTGCACAGGAACCCTTTTGTGCTGATCCTAGCTGCTGCCCTGGCTCTACCAAACAAGGTAACTTACAGCCATCAGGTCTTTGCTTCCATCAATCCAGCTGTGAACAGCTGCATTTCACCCTGATTTGGGTTTGGGCCACAAGGAGGGTGTAGATCCAGTCTCCAAATTGTGCTCATCACTTCCATTTAGTTAAAGCTGTGCAGAGACAAACCCTCTGTGGATGGGTGACATTTATTCACACTATCCCCCTCATCATCTTCATCACCTTGTGAAGCACTTTCTGAAATCAAGTAGGGTTATTCCTTAAACATCTAACATTTATCTTCTCTTGCTAGCCATCCTCCCGGTACCACCACCATCCCAATTACATTCAAATCTGATCCAAAGGAAGACAAGATTTTTTAGAGCACAACAGGAATGAAGAAATGAGAAATTACAGTACCTCAGTTTTTAAGGAGAGTCCACTGTTAAAGAATATAGCTGAAACAGCAATGTAAGTTATGGTAATTTCTGGTTTCAGAGGTCCTAAAAAATACAGACATAGAGAACAAAGTGAACTACAGTCAAAGGGATAATGATGCACATATACTATATCAGAGTAAATGAGAATACTTAAAAAATACCTGTAGAAAGTCTAATCAGTAAAGCCTCTAATAAAAAGAATGGCATTTCTATCAAGTTACTAATAGAAAGCATGCTATTCATTTTTAAATAAGTGTAAACCAGTGAGTATGCAGAGTGAGTTAGGTCATAATATAAATTTGATTTCCATGATTAGAGGCCACTGGGAACTCACAGGCAAATTCTGGAAATTTGAAAATGGGGAGCCTTTCACAGTTCTGCCATCAGACTATCCCTACAGTATCAGCAAACTCAAACCATACCCTCCAATAAAAACATTAGCTGGTACCTTTACAGGGCCATTGACATCCCTCACACAGCTACCTCTCACTTCTTTCCTACAACATACACACCTGTCTGGCTGCCTGCACAGAAGAACCCAAATCACACCTTGCAATGATTTCCTCAGGGCAATACAATTCTGTGTTACTCCATTAATAAGAGAAATTTGTTCAAAATGGCTCATTCAGCCCCACAATAATGCATTTCAGACGCTGCTGCAGTGACAGCAGCAAGGTGATGCAGATGCCTGCACCATCAAGGGTTGTATTGAAGGCTTACATTTGTGTATATTTATATACTTTTTTCAGGGAGATTAAAATATAGTCTTTTTTACGCTCCTATAAAAATGACAAATTCTCTTAATACACTTTGCCTTCAGAGGCCACCAGGCATAAAATGTATGTGTTCATTTTTTCATGAGCATTCCACCAGATATTAGGTTAGAAAGAAAATATTAGCAGTCTACTTAGGACCAAAGTAATATCCTCATTCTACAAGTGATCCTAAGTTGTCCTGAGCAAAACTGCAGCAGCAAACAAGCCAGCCTTGACTCAACACTGCAGAAGAGAAGAACCCTTCTGCTCCCAGGATGAATGATACATTGATGGTCACACTGGAGTAAGGTCAACGGCCCTCAAATCAGAGGGACTTGATTGTACAAGTCAAATTTGCATCTCGAGTCATTTCAACACAAATCCTACTCTCAGAGGAAACTCTGCTGACAAGACACTAAAACTGTGTTTGCCAAACACAAAAAAAAAACCCCGAAAACAAACAAACAAAACCCCCAAACAAAAAAAATCCCCCCACCAAGCTACACGTAGGAAGACTAAGGTAAAAATAAGACAGGAAATGCAAGAGTTACAGTTGCAACAAAGTCCATGACTAGTTGCAAAATTCTGGCACATTAACTGAATAGATGGGGGGAAAAAACCCAAAAGATTATACAAATATATATACCGCTACAGAAAACTATATTTTATAGGCACTATTACCTCTTTTTTCTAATCCTTTAGAAGATTAGAGTCTCTACATACATGCACATACAGCAGACAGGCAATGGATTAATTTGGCTAAAACAGGGGTTCTTCCAGGACTCAGTTTTTTTCTGGTTTTTCACTGGGCTACCTGAACTCCTTCCCCCAGGAGAAGCCTCTACCACCAGAGCAGCCACACACTCGAGGAGCACAGGGAACTCTGGTCACAACAGAAACATTTTTGTCACAAAGGAACTAAATGGGCTCATTTATCAAACAGGAAAACACAAAAAAATGGCTTGGCTTATGTCATGGAGGTGACAACAAAACAAATCTTTGTTATTTATGGCAAAATCTTCCACGGCTATGGATGCTGGACCATCCATACCATTTGCTAAAGCCCTGCAAATTACCGTGCACGGCTTTGTCAGCTGGAAGATTACAAACTCAGGCTTTTTCATGTGTTGATACTTCCCACCCCTCACCTCTTTCTGCTTTTAAAAAGAAATATTTTTCTTCCTCAGAGCACTGAGATCCCACAGTTTCAGAGGAGGGGATACCACTGTGGGGAACATGTGCTCGCTACTTTCAATCAATGCTTCCAAGATTTTTCAAGCAAGTTGTCCCAGGAAAAATACAATGTCAAAGCTTGACACCTCTTTGCAGCAGGATAATTTAACGAAGTGCTCCATCATAGTGCTTCCATGCAGAAACTGAGCCGAGGAACAATTATCTCCTATTCCAGTGAAAAGGACCTCCCACACGGCTGCTAACAATTAACACGGCACTGAAAGCAGAAAGGGACAAAACACCTGATACTATCAATTTCAAGTCGACTCTAAGGTCTGCAGAAAACACAGCACGGATCCTGCAAGAAGCTCCACCTGGGTTCTATTCACCCGTGCAGAACAGCACACCGATGTTAGAAGGGATCCTTGCACAGCAGGAATTTGCCTACCCTGAACTCCCTGAAGTACCGGAGCCTTAGTTGCCACAGCATGTGCTCAGAGCCATATGTTTTTAAATTACTTTCTTTTTTTCCCAGAACCTAAGAGGTGGGAAAAGTTTGGCTCTTCAGTGAGAAGCTATTCTCAAACTTCAGCACTGTTAAGAAAAAAAAAAAAAAAAATTAAAAAACCCCTGTGCCTATAAAAGCACAGATAGATTCTTTCTCCTCTCATAACATGGAACTGCTAGAGGAATTCTATTGAAATATTCTACATACCTTTTCTCAAGCCATCAGAGAACAATTAGGAAGAAGAAATACAAAATTTAATTTGTTCTTGAAATTTGTGAACATCTGGAGCTGAAGTTCCAAAGGAAAGTGACCAGGAACCAACTCCAGCGTTTATATTTAAAGTTTTTACACCACCACTTTCCACAGGATCAGTTTCCCTGTTTTCCCCCACCTTCCATGAGGAAGTAAGAGGGAACAACAAGACCAAAAAAAAAAAAAAAAAGGAGAAAATCCAAAACTTTAAAACACAAGTCTTCTACTATAAAGCGAAAGAAAAGGTCTGGCCGAAACGCAGCACCTGAAAGTTTACCACAATACTGCTTCAGCCGCACCTCCGGGGGAAGCTCCCGGACGGCAGAAATCCATACCCTGAGCTGCTGGGACTTCATGTCCACAGCTCTGGAAGTTATGACTTAGTTGAACAGGAGCACATTCAGAGCCAGTCACCGCTTGGCTTCCATCACTCCTAATCCCAAAAGAGCAGGACGCTCCTCCTGCCACTGGTACAGTGCCGAGCAAAGACACGGGAACCCACGCGGGAGCAGTTCCCGGATTCCTGAGGGGCCGTGGCTGGGAGCAGGGAAGAAGAGGAGCCGATGGAGGGCAGGGACCCCTCACGGGCGGGACAGGGCGCGGGGGCAGCGCGGCCGCCGGGAGTTGCCGGAGTCCCGGGGCTCCCGGTGCCCGCGCCGGGCTGCCGGGGCACAGCGCCCGCGCTCAGCGCCCGCACTCACCGCCTTTGACGCCGACGCCGGGCTCCAGCCGCGCCACAGCGATGACCAGCACGATGCCAAGGATGAACCACTCCTTCCGCAGCCGCTCCAGCAGCCCCATGGCGCTGCCCGGCGCGGCGCGGATCGGCTCCGCCCGGCGCCGCTCGGTCCGGTTCGGCCGGGCTCGGTCCGGTTCCGCTCGGCTGCTCGGGGCTGCTGCGGGCGCGGGGCGGGGCGCGGCCCCACCGCCCGCCGGCAGGGCCAGCCGGATCCGCTGACGGCAAAAGTCTCACCCACCGCCGCCATCGCTACCACGCACCTTCTAATAGGCGCGCAAGCCCGCGCTGCCGCCCGCACGGCTACGAGCAACCGGGGCCCCCCGCCGGCTCCGGCCGCCCCCGCCCCGCATCCCCTGCTGAGGCGGACACCGCGGGTGGCGGTGGCGGGAACGGGACAGCTCCGTGGCTGCCGTCGTAGGGCGGGTCGGGGAGAGCGCGGGCACGGTGCCGGCGGTGGCGGGGCCGGGCGGTGGCGGCAGGCGCGCGCAGCGCGATGATGCGCGCTGCTTTGGTGCATTACAACGCCCGCGTGACGGCCGGCGTTTGACGCGCGGGGGGGTGGGCGCGGGCCGGGAAGCGCCTGGGCGGGATCCGGGATCGCTCCGTGAGGGCAGGCGCGGGCCGGGGCTGGCAGGGTAAGCACTGACAGCGGCGCTCCCCGCAGCCGCGGGAGCCAGGAGCGCCGGGAGGGCGGGGGCCGCCGCCGCGTCACGCGCCTGTTAGCGGTGTGCCCTCACGCCCGCCCGTCTCGGCGCTGCGCCGCCGCCGCCAGGCACACGTGGATCGGGATCGCCCGGGAGTTCCCATTGAGCACCTGCCTGTCCGTTCTGGGCAGACCCAAAGGCACCTGCTCAGCCCCTGTCGCGACATGGCGACAGCATCGCCCGAGCCGGGCCAGCCACTTCCTAGCGGCGGGCGGTTCCCTGGCTTGCCTCTGTGCTAGAACCACTTCCATTAAAACAGTATCCTAGAACCTCATCCTGGTGCTCCACCCGCGCTTTCCATTCCCTATTCCCCTGTTGCGGCCCTTCCCCGATGGATCCGTCATCCTGCCCGGCCAGGGGCACCCGCTGCAGGTCCCCGAGCAGGGAGATAAAAAAGCAGGAGACGCTCTGTCTTCCAGCGGCTCCCACCGCCGCTGCCCCGTCCCGCAGGGCTCTCCCTCTCTGCTGCGTCACTCCCGAACATTTCGGGCAAGTTTCATCCTGCACAGTCTCTGCCGATGTATTCGAGCTTCAAGGAACAGCCCTGCCACGGGCTTTCTGCTACCAAGGAAAGAAATGTTTATAGTCGAAAGCTCAGCTGATCTCCAAGATGTGTATATCCCTGCGTGTCCTGGGAGGTTCGCTTGTGTAAACAGGGATACATCAGAGCCGAAGTGTTTGGATGTGGGAGGGAACGTGCCTTCTCCCACTCGCGAGCAGATCCAAACTGTGAGGTTTAACGGGATTGTACATTTCACTGCTTTACTGAAGTTTGCTGGAGTACGTGTTGATCCTTGCTCCCTTCTCAGGAGGGAGAGACGGATTGCAAAACCTCGCTGAGCTTACCCTGCGCAACCACTGCAGGTTGGGGGTTTTGGGAGAAAACAAATGCATAATGTGTTCATCTAAAGCAAGCTGTGATTATAACAAGTGTAGGATTTGATTAGTTGGAGGATTTGATTGCTGCACGGGAGAGATAAATCAGATGAAGATGTACAGTCAATGTTTATCATATAAACTATACTAAATCTCTGTGGGTACTCACAGGTGGCCCTAGTTCCAGGACCTCTGCACCATTCGTGGATCAGAGCATGCACATCTTTCCCTGTGTGGCTCTGAAAGCCACACACCAGCAAGGGCACAGGCCCTCTGATCTGAGCACAGCAGGAGATCAGGAAGATGTCCATGGTTTCCCTGGTAGTTTTCTTGTGAATCTGTACATAGTCATGGAGCTTCTAAGAGAGATGGGAAAGAGACTTTGCACCCTGTTCCTAGTGGTTCCAGCCAGGCTGATGAGTTGCAAGATGCAGAGGCCTCACACTGCACTAGCAGGGCTAGAAGGCAGGAGCAGATCCAGCATAATTCAGGAAAAAATATAATAATAAATAATCTTAGGTCAAAAGTTATGGACTCAGAAGTTAGAAGCAGCTGAATCTCATAGTGAATGAAAATGCTGCAGTATCAATTCCTGTAGAAGCTGCAGAGGGATGCAAAGAAGGGGCAGGTAAGTCAGTCTTGCTCAGTCTGGCAATAAAAATTCAATCGTGCAATAAAGCAGCCTCACCCTACTTTTGCATACTTTTTTCATGGTAGTAATTCTGCCCCTCACTCTTTGCAGGTGGATCCTAATAATACATTTCTAATATTGTTTAGTGTTCAAGTTAGTTTCAGTTGATTTTGCCATCAGGTTTCAGATATTTGCTCATAGCAGATCCAGCTGGCAAAGGTTAGAAACCTCAGGTTCAGTCCTAGGCTCTAGAAGGTGCTTCTCAATTTCCCCTCCAAAGGGTCACTTCCTGTGCACTTCCCAAGCTTGTTTTTCCTTCTCTAAAGAAGGATGAGATAGCTCACTGGGTATTACATTTAGAACAGTTAAGAAAATATATATTTTAAAAACCACAAACAAACAAGAAAAGCCCCCAAAATCAAATGGTTATTAGATATACCAGAACTCTCTACACTCAAAACAAAAAAAGATAAGCTTTAATGAGGCTCTCTTGCTTCGAGTGGACACTTTGCCTTTAATTTTTTCCAAGAGATCTGAAGTTTGTAATAAATAACTTTTGCTATCTGGGTTAGAAAATACCCTGGTTCATGAGGCTTTCTGCTTCTGTAGTCTTTAAAATTATATGCAGATATTCTAAGCTGTGTGTTGAAGGACTTGTACAAAGACATTTTAGCTGGTGGGTTTTTTTGGTTTTTTTAAGCTGTCCTGGTAGAACTGTGGTAAGCATATATGTCTCTCAGATTAAGTAGATGAAACTGTTCCTGCTTTTAAATAAGAGAGAGCAGTGTAAGCTCTGCCATGTCCCACCAGAGTGGAGCAGAAGGGAAGAAAACACTACATGTCAATTTTATAATTGGCAGGACACTCACACATCCTAAACCTGTCTGCAAGGCAGCATCACTGTTGCTATCAGGGAATTTATCATCCATATGGAGGCATTTGGTCCCTAGTAGAGAGAGACAATCCAGTGTTCACCCTGTCATCCAAAACTGCCTCCTGCACCATTTCACATTCCTCCTCATGTTCCTGTACAGATAATACTTATATTCTAATAAACACCAGGACTCAAACAGATCTGGAATGGTCTGGTACATGTGTGTGTTTATTCTCTGTTACATTGTACAAAAACATTTTGGGGTATATTTAGCTGTGGCTTAGACATAGTACAGGAACAAGAATTTAGCTTCTCTCTGATTTCACATGACCAAATTTTCATTTTTGTTCCACTGCAAACATACCTCGGGGCTTCCAGATGCTTTCCTGCCTCCAAAGGCTCTTGTGCTTCCTTCTGCATAATACAAAAGCTCTGTGACATGTATAGCTACGTGGCACCAGGTCTTTGTTGCTCACAGGTAGCCTGCTGAAACCAACAGGGCTGTTCATGTGAGCAGGGACTGGATTTCATGTCTGCAAAGACGCAGGAGTGGACTGGACATTTCTGGGCTTCACATTTTGAACAACCACTCTTGTGTGATTTGAGCCCATTCCCTTTGTGTGCCCAGCCTCTGATCTGCACCACATACCTCGCTGCCTGATAACTGCGCAGTAATTTCATTGAATGCAAGGATTTTCATGCCCCTGAGTAGCAGATGTCATCTGATTATACGTTTAGACAGGAGATATTTTAATATAAAGGAGAGGGGATCACCAGATAAAGGGAGCTTAAATGAGAGGAAGAGATAGTATTAAATAATTTAGCTTGAAAAGAACAAAGATATTCAGAATGAACAAGATAAAGAGAGGTGTTAATTATAAATAGGAAAGTTGAGGAGAAAAAGTGGAAATATATGGGAGGCGGTTTACAACACATTTATATTTCTCACAAGCACTTAGCGGCATGATCTCAGATTTTCTCAGAGGAAATTGAAGAGATTCTGTACTGATCCCAGTAGCTGGATTTCCTCCTGGAAGAGGAAATTTACAAGTCTTTATTGTGCCTTGGCCTAGGTGCTTATACTGCTTTAGGCATCTGCAAGGGATCTTTTGTTCTTGTTAGTGAATATTACTGAATACCTTTAATCACTTAGGTATCGCCAGCTGCAGGACTTACTACCCTTAGCATAATGCAGTAGCAGGATTTACGTACAAGTTCAATTTAGAATAGTACTTAATGTGACTTAAACACACATATATAAATGTGCTTTTCTAAATAAAAGCTATGAGATGATTAAATGTTTTGTGAATCTTTGGGTTTATTATAATGCTATGATCTTTTTTTCACCCGGGGACTGTAAATGCAGAATACTTTTTATGTTTTTAATTTGTAATAAAAGGTCCTCTTGCATATTTAGTTATTCAACAAATAAGTGATTTTTCTTTTACTTAAGAGCTCAGTGTGAAATTTTCATTAGATAATTTCAGGCATTAGGAAGAAAACTTAAAAGACAGCAAGTGGGGGTTTTGCTGATCCCTTTCCTAGAACCTGCTTGTTCTTACCAGAAACAGAACCTGGTTTACTGATGCTCCACTCATTATATTCTCTTGACTTACGTCTCCACTTAGACTACCAAGAGACCATATAAATTTAGAGAAATTTTCATGTTTAGCACTTTTTCACAGAAATACAGTTTCCCAGTAGACAGCAGAGCTATAATGTATTCAGAAGATTGCATTTAAAAAAATTAAAAAGGAAAATAAAAGCTATTGGCATAATAAAGCTGTTGCTCTTCATTCAAATTATGGGCTTCTTCAACTGCAATTCAAAAGCAGGAGACAAAAATTTAAAAAAAAATGTGAAAAGCTATACATATTTAAACCAGAAAAATGAAAGCAAGAACAGGAAATAGCTTCCCTGGATAATTTCACAATGAACAACTGCATTTAACCTATTAAATAAAAGACTTCAGAGATAACAGGGGGATACCTTCATATCTTTTTCTCCTTATGCTTATAAAAATGACCTTCTAATATTATTATAATCATACCAAAATACCTACAGCATGAGAATTTTCACTACAAAAGTTTGCTGCATTTTTACAGGGGAGAA